ACAAAACGTCAGGATTTTGGAATGACTAGTCCTTTACTCTTATACCTTGATCATCAGCCCCTTTGTCCTTTGTAATATACTACTGCCATGCTGTAATATATAGACGGAGGGAGGAAATACATATATGGAATCATTAAGGCAGAAGTACCACTCCCTAGGTATCTGATCCGTAGATTTAATACATTTCATAGACATTAGGGCTGGAAGGGACCTCGTATGATCATCGGGTCCAGCCCCCTGCCCCTGGGGCAGGAAGTCATCTAGGGTCAAAGGATCCCAGCAAGATAAGTGTCCAAATGTTTCTTGAAAGTGTCCAGAGTAGATGCTCGCACCACCTCTAAGGGGAGTCTGGTCCAGGCCTTGGGAGCTCGGACAGTAAAGATGTTTTTACTTATGTCCGGTCTAAAACAGTCTTGCAGGAGTTTGGATCTTGTCATCCCCTGGGGTGCTCTGGTGAACAGGTGCTCCCCCAGATCCTGATGCACACCCCTTATGTACTTATAGGCTGCCACCAAGTCACCCTTGAGCCTGCACTTCTCTAGGCTGAAGAGTCCCATAGCTCGCAGCCTCTCTTCATAAGACCTATTCTTTTGCCCTCTGATCATGCATGTGGCTCTCCTCTGGACTCTTTCAAACTTCTCCATGTCCTTCCTAAATTGAGGAGCACAGAATTGGATGCAGTACTCTAGCTGCAGCCTCACCAAGGCTGAGTACAGTGGGAGGATGACATCCTGGGTCTTGTTCGGGATGCATCAGTAGATGGAAGCCAGAGTTTTATTCATTTTGCCAGCTTCAGTATAGCATTGGTGACTCACATTCATCTTGTAGTCAATCATGACCCGAAGGTCTCTTTTGGTCATGGTGCCAGTGAGCGTAGCATTGCTGAACCTATAAGTGTGATGCGGGTCTTTATTCCCGAGGTGGAGCACCTTGCATTTCTCCGTATTGAATGCCATCAGGTTTTCATCAGCCCACCTTGCAAGCCTATCAAGGTCAGCTTGGATCACCAGCCTGTCCTCAAGTGTGGACACTCTTCCCCAAAGTTTGATGTCGTCAGTGAACTTGGCCAGTCCACTTTTGGTACTAGTGTCCAGATTGTTTATAAAGACATTAAAGAGTACAGGTCCAAGAACGGAGCCTTGGGGGATTCCACTAGGCACTGAGTGCCATGGTGATTCAGTTCCATCAACTACCACACTTTGGGTCTGACCTCGGAGCCAGTTCCCCAGCCATCAGACTGTGGAGTAGTCAAGGTCACAGTTGCCCAATTTTTCCATGAGGACATCATGGGACACCAGGTCAAAGGCTTTTTAAAGTCCACATTATATGACATCAACCTCTTCCCTTTTGTCCAGGTGATATGTCACCTGGTCATAGAAGAAAATGAGATTGGGCAAGCAAGACCCTACCCACAACAAACCCAGGCTGGCTATCAGTCAGAATGTTGCCTTCTGTTAGCCTGTCTAGAATGGTTTCTTTGTTAATTTTTTCCAAAATCTTCCCAGGGATTGAGGTCAAACTGATTGGCCTGTAGTTTCCCAGCTCTTCTTTCCTCTTTTTATTGAAGATGGACACCACATTGGCCCTCTTCCATTCTTCAGGTATTTCGCCTGAGTGCCCCGAGTTAATGAATATGCTCGCCAGTGGCTGTACTATGATGTCTGCCCATTCCTTTAGCACTCTTGGTTGCAACCTATCCAGACCAGCTGATTTATGGGGGTCCAGCCTCTCAAGATGCTCCCTCACAAGATCCACGCCAATAGTGGGCATATATTCATCCCCACCCTGGTCATCCCTCATCATGTTAGACAGGGTAGTCCCTTTGGGCTGGTGCAGAACCAACGCAAAGTAATCATTAATCCAATCTAATGCCACTAAAGTAGATGTAAAAAAAATCGCTGCTAGGTTAAATGGGTATTGGATAATGCCTTGAATCGTTACTGATATGTAGTATCCAGGGACTTAAAACAAAAAAAATCACTCTTCTATGCTAGCTCACTGCTTTTATTTTATTGTGTGTGCATGTGCACATGCAGACAATAAGGTTGCTGTAATCACAGTGTTTCATTACTATATAGCTGCTGGTGATGATCTTTGTCTTTGTTTTCTTATGTATCAGTGTAGCATTATCCAACATATGGGATACAGTGGTGAGCAGAGCAGAAAAGATAAGAAACAATTAATTCCAGTCCAGGAAAAACATGGATAACTGAAGCAGGGAAGAAAATGCAACTGCTACCATATGTGCACAGTCAACTTTTTAATGTGAGCAAGGAAAATTTGAGGGCTGCTTTTTAGGTCTCTTCCCTCAGCAATTTTCTTTTTTCTTGCTGTTCTTTCTTCATTAACTTTTGTGCATCCTGACTATTATTTTTCATGTTCTTCTCTGCTTTTTACTTTCTTGGCCAGTGTAAATCACTTTTCTTTCCAAAAAATCTTCACCCAATTTGTTTCCCATAACAACAACAATAATAGAAGAGAAATATTCCTTTTAATGGCAAGGTTGAGGCCAAAATCTTTCTTCTGGTGCTTGTATGCAACCATCCTTGATTTCACTGGGATTTCTGCTTATATTTCTGAGGGAAAATCTGGCCCTTACCTTCACTATCCACCCAGCAATGTAACTACAACAAGCAACAGCCACAAAACAAAGACATCCCTTAATAATTTTTTTTTTCAAAAATGAAAGAATGATTTGCTATTCTTATTTTTTTTCTTCTAACACTTGTAAAGCTTTCCCCATGCTCTCATATGGCTGACCTGACCACTGATCCCTTGTGTATACTCCAGACTGTGAGCGCCTAACAGGGATATCCAGACCAGACTTCCTTAGCCAATAATAAGTTGTTCAGTGTAGCACCTGTGGCTCTTCATAGAAAATTATATCAAAAGAGTTTTTGTTGTCATTGTTTACTACATGCATGGAGTGTATCTTTTCTGTAATCATGAACAGTGCAATGTATTGGATCTCTTTCTCTCTATTGCTCATGGTACAACTATTGCAGGTTTGCAACGTATATTTGGCTAAGACTGACTTTGTATGCTCCTGGGCTAGTCAGGGCTGAGCATCATTGGATTAACACAACAAGAAAATTGTACTATCCTTGGTTTTTTACAACTTTTAATTATGTCAATTTTTTTTTTGTGGAGCAAAAAGTGCTGTAACTAAGAAATGTGATCAATTCAGTTATGTGGGGGGAAAAAAAACATGTTCCATTGACCAAGGCTTGGCACTAGCAATCAGCAGTTCAGTTCTCTTTCAAGCTCTGTTACCAACTGATTGGGTGATTTTATGTTAATCACAGATCCCATCTACACCTTGGTTTCACCTTCCTATAAATGAGTATTAGGGTCTCTGTTCTCAGATGTGCCAGTGTAGAACATGGTGCAGCTGAGACTGGGGAGCTGAAAGACTTCTTTCTGCTTTACTTGATTCTGTTTCTGGCTGAGCTCTGAACTGGCTTCTGGCAGTGTAAAAGCTGCTATATCTTGTGCTGCTTGTGATGGCCCTCCAGAGACCATGACACTGACAAAGATCAACAGACCATAGTGTGCTCTGGCCCCAGCCCAACTCATACATTCCTCCCCCTAATGTAAGGGTTTGGCAGATTGCTGGCTTTATGCCCCCTCAGGATTTCCCACGTTAGTATTAGAAGTAGAAATTACCAATTATGTTGTATAGTTCATTCCCTTGCCCACAGAGGACTATTCCCTATTACTGCATTTAATACTGCTTTGTCCAGCCTGGTTCAGCCTGCATCTCATTTGTACATGAATTCTGATAATACCAAAAATAAAATGTCTGTTTCCAAATGATTTTGAAAGAAAGAAGTCATTAGATAGCTATATCTCAAATCAAAGTATAATCTTTGCAAACTGATTTGACAACTGAAAATGCAACAACAGATAAGGAACAAATATTTATGCAGTGTAACTACTTATGGTTGATTTGGGGTTTAATTTTATCCAACTGGTCCACTTGTGCATTTGTGGTCCACTTGTGCAATGTAAATATAATGTTGCATTTTGTGTACTATAAATGCTGCCTGGTGTGACTTACTTTTTGGAGACAGTACTGTAATTCATTGTATCATGGCCCAGCATGATGGATCAGCAGAGTACAGTATTCACTGAAAGAGGCAATTCCTCAGTGGCTACTTATACCTATATGTATAACCTTATTTGAGAACAAAATGTTTTTGCTTTCATTTAATGTGTAGTAACCCTGCTGCTCTGATTATCTTAACTATCACATCAGCATTTGCTTATGTAAATTAGAAGACTGTAGACAGAAAATGCACAGATACTACAAACTTGAGATAATCAATCCTTTTAGAAAGTGAGAGAGAAACTGTATTATGAAAAAGAGCTGTATACTTTTTAATTTTTTTTACCTCTGATTATTTCATATCTATATGCTTGTGCTCTATATTACCTTTCCCCTTTTCAGACTCTGGACTTAATATTTGAAGGTAGAAAACCCCCAGTAGACTTACTGGTTTTCACAGCCATTATCAACTTGAAAATTTCATAGCAGATGCAGTTTTTTCTCAATTTATAGAGGATAAAGTTTAACCACAAACTTTATGGTTAGGGTCTAAATAGGGCCTTCTGTGTTTTTGCTTTTTGTATCTAGTAACAGAATTAGAAAGCTACTGCCACCTATAGCTACCAGATATTCTCAAGCTACTCCACTGAAGAAAGGAAATGCATGTGCAACAGAGACTTCTCAGTATATTAAGAAAACTTGGCAAATAAACTAGCCCATTATACTGAAACTTTGCCCATTGAAATGAAAGGCAATCTACTCTCTGTGATAGTCATGGGATAAGCTTAAAACCCTCCACTCAATGTAACATTCTTTTACTGTGTTGGAATATACGCTTGATAAAAGTGCAGAGAATAACTAATGCTTTTTATTATTATTTCTTCCCATTAAAAATTGTTATCTTATTGTTCAGCATTGATTTTAAGATTCCTATTTTTAATATTTATTGTAGTAAGACATTGAATTGTGGAAGAGTGTGGAAAAAGATGACAATATTTCTTTCTTTCATCAGAAAAAGGTAAGTTTTAAAGAAAAGTAATTTTCAGTTATTTATAGCTTAATAATAACTGAGCGCATCTACAGGTATATATTTACTGGGCAGTAACCAAAATTACAATACAATACAAGTGCAAGTCTACACATGCATGCTTGTCCTGCGCAGTAAATATGAAAACTTATGCCAGCTTGAGCATCATGCAGGTATCAAATTTACACCCAATTAGTTACTGTGCCGTAACATACTTGTGCTATTAATTTGAAGTAGGCTTACTGTGTGGTAAAAATACCATGCAGTAACCCTACCCAGGAGCATGTCTACACATGCTTGGGAGCAGATTTGCTTCTAATGGGAGCAGCCGGGTACAGGACTGTTCCTGCCCTGTTCTGCCCCATTGTAGCAGCCAGGGGGAGCTCCATGCTTCCCCTGGGAGCTAGCCTGGGGGCTGGCAGGGAGCACAGGGCTGGTCCCCATCAACAGAAGGTCAGGAGAACTTTGCCCACTGTAGTGGCACCTGTCTTCTGGCCCCGTACACATCAGGAGGGGTCCTGATACACATGGGACTGGAAGCGTGCTGCTGCTGCAGAGCTCCCCCACTCCGTGCACATGGGGACAAGACCTATGCCCAGTGGGCTTCCCCATACAGCCTGGGGCTGGCCAGGAACTGTCCCATTCTTGGACAGGTCCCAGCCATTTCACAGGCTGCATACTGTGGAGAACTCTCCATACAGCCCAGAGCTGGCTGGGACCTGTCTCAGAATGGGACAGTTCCTGGCCAGCTCCAGTCTGTGTGGGAAAGCAGGTTGCCCCTGAGTCCCAGCACTACTCAGCTCCCAGCTCCTGTGAGAAGCTGGGACCTGAGCAGCACCAGGGTGGGGGAGGGAGGCAGTGGGCAGAGAGCTTATCTTGTCCTGGCACTGCTTGGCTCCTGGGGGGAGCTAGGAGCTGAGAGTGCCAGGACCAGGGGAGTTCCCAGTCCCCTGTGGCTCCCTAATGTAGGGGCTGACTGGGGGCAAATTTGTTCCCAGCCAGCATCTACACATGCAATACTTACTGCACAGTATCTACTGTATAGTTAGTTTACCACTGGTATTTATGGGTAGTAACTAACTGCACAAAAGAGTAAATTACTGTTCTTTAAATGTGCACACATGTAGATAGCAATGCTGTAGTGCATAAGTCTACTGTACATTAATTAGTACTGTGTAGATTAATCTACTGTACAGTAAAGCATCTCATATAGACACACCCACAGTATATTCCACACTCAGAAACACAACTGTGAAGACATTCTGGGGCATCAGTCGGTAGCAGCTCTTCAGACTTTTGTCTCTGGTGTGCTTGAGAGCAACCACTGGGGATAATCTCAAGGACCCTGACCAACATTCCAAGTTTGGAGTGTGCATGTGAATTGTTATAGAAGGTGGCCTGTGTGCTCAGCGCAGTCCTGGCCAGCACACCATTGTGGTGTAGACATGTCAAGAGAGACTTCTGAAAGAAGCAAAGAGATAGGGTGGCTTCTGGATAGGCTTGCTTCACATGAAAAAGGTTTGGTGCTGTGAACAGGAAAACTGTCTTCTGTTGTTTACTTTGTACTGTGCTCAGGAAAGTACATTATTGCATGTAAATAGAATTAAATCAAAGCTACAAGACCACCAATTTCTTCTAACTTGAATAACTTAGATCCCACATTTTGGCTAGCTGCTTGGGTCACGAGAGATAACAGTAGCTATGAGCTGGCTGACACTTGCTACAGGAAGAAGAGACATGTTAAATTTAACTCTGATGGCTCAGTCGAGTTTTACATAGGACACAGTTAAAGAAAAACTGTATCCAAAACCTCTAAAAATGGCACAGATAAATTAAAAAAAATTACAAGTAGAGCAACTGCAAATTATTCATTTTTTTTACAAATTATCAAGAAGGTAAACTGACAGATGGAGCACATAAAGATTAACCTATGGCTAGATCCCACAGAATGTAAGGTCCTCTAAAATAAGGATTACGAAGATTCACTAGAAATACTTGAAAAACTTATGGAATTTAATAGGATGGATATCTTTTGTCCACCGGGTTTTAGAACCATCCTTTAACAGTATAAAGGAGAGAGATCTTTCTATTAAATTCTAAAATAGATTCCAAACCCAAAGATATCATTTAGTAGGACTTTCTTATAGGGAGTGTAACTACAAATTACTTTTACCTTCTACTACAATAGATATCATAAGACACAGTAAATTATAAACAATTACGCTGTCTTTAATTGTCATTATAAATTAATCAACTCTGCATAAGAGCTCTCTACAGCTGTCTACTGTTATGGCAAACCTTTACTGAATAATAGTGGTATTGTTCTATGAATCCTAAGTTCTATACATAAGGAAGATTTTGGTGTATGCTAAAAACTAAATGATCAGAATTACATGTGTGAATGCTCTTACTCCATGGCAAATTTAGAATAGCTTATCCCTCATTTAAAATGGATTTACAGTTAGCAGTTTATAAATTTGCATTTTCAGTCTTGATAGATTGGCTGATGTGTTCTAATTTTGCACTCTGACTTGCCTCATGGTTGTTTGTCTGTTGATTCCTTGAACTAATTTTTCCCAAATAAAATGTTTTTGTGGGTTTTCTTAACTAGAGGTCCAAGCTGATGCTTTGGTTATAGGCACAGCTACGTATTAAGTACTTCAGAAATCAAGATAGCATGAGGATATCAAGAAGCTTTTACATTTGTTTTAAATTCTATTATGTTTTCATTATCTTAACTGTGAAAATTTTTTTAATTTAGGCCTTGATTAAATAAGATAATTACACTTGAAATAATTTGGTTCTCCAAGCACAGTTTAAATTCCAAGATGAACAGGCCTCATGAGACAACTAAAATGTATGATATGCAGCAGTACTAACTCATTTTGATCTCTTTGCAGGTCCTACATGCAATAAACTTACTAGACTAGACATACAGACTTCTTTCAATGATATGAAAATTAACCCAGGCACATCAGCTGCAGGAAATCTTCAAAGGTACAGAAATCAAACACTTAACCAGTAATTAATTAAACCAAACAAGCCATCAGCATATGCTGCTTAGCCTATGTATCAAGTTAGGTCAATAATGAAGCTAGAGTAAATCTCCTGGAGGTTCTGTCCTGTCAAACTTTAAAGTCTCATTGCTAAGTTGAGGATCTTAACTTTTTAGAGATCCAGTAAATGATTTCACAAGATTGCTGAGCTGTTGCTTCTATTTAGCATTATTTTCAATACATTAGAATTTTTTTTTCAACAGTGACATGTGAGCAAAAAGTGCTTCTCCAATTCTTCTGAAAACAAGTATTTTAGAGGCCAAGGAAAGTCATGTTAAGATAAGAGGGAACTTTAAGAAAAAGGTTTATATCCAACAAAAGTAATGTTTGGGGATTCTTTCCTTCATTTGCGTTTGAATTTAGTGATCATAAAAGTAAATTGCCAACTATGGTGCATTCAGACACTATGTAAGCTATCCCACATAGCACTGCCAGTGAAATCCAGACCTGATCTGCAATATTTCTGTCATTCCAAAGGCACTGCTGACTTTTAGACCTAATCTGTCAGTTGACAACAAGTTGTGTGGTCGTTTTGTTATGTGGCAAAATAGGCATAAAGAGACCAAGATAAACCTAGTCATATTTTTCACCCGTCAAAACCTCATTTCTCAAAAGCAAAGCACGGACTAAAATGGGAGCCACGTGACAGATTACAGTGCAAGAAATTAAAAATGCTCTTAGTTTTATTCCTTCAGCATCCATAACATTTTCTGTCACCTCATTTTCATGATGCAATGCTTCTGGTAAAATAATTTGTACAGATATATCTATGAGATAATATAACAGTTATATGTTAGAATATGGATTTATTTTGCATGTGACAGAAATCTGTATATAAGTCCCTTTTTTAGAGATACCAAGCTAGTGCATATAGCGGTCTCTGATGAAGGTCTTGTTTACATCTAACTTATATTTATGCTGTTAACTAATGATACATTTTCAAAAAACAAATAGATTAGCTACATTTTATAACAGTTTTAAGGAAGGGAAGAAAGAAGTAGTTAGCCAGGCTAGTGTAAAATTAGGCAAAAGGAAGGGTGGCAGTACCTGATAGACTAATTGGTTCAAAAAGGCACGAGTTTTCATAGGCTGCAATCTACTTTGATGAAAGCTTGTGCTTATCTGAATGAGTTACTCTATAAGATGCCATACTGGCCTGTTTTCTGCTCATTATAAAGGGTATAAAATCTTCAGCCAGTTACATCCCTCATTTTGTTGATTATTCTGTTTTTAAAAAGAGGCTTGTCTAATGAAGTATCCTTTGGTTTGCTGCTTTGGTTCTGATAGATGAGGATTTCTAGTTTTCTTACTTGTTTTTAACTGATGATAGAAAATATATTCTTAAGTGACAAGATTTAGGGGAGTTTAGGTTGTAGCCATGTTGGTCTAAGGACATAGGCAGACAAGATTCCTTGGGTGAATTTGATATCTTTTATTAGACCAACCCAAATAGTTGGAGAAAAGTTATTGAGCAAGCTTTCGGGTTCAAAAACCCTTCGTCAGGCTAAGGAAGTTTCAGCAGTTGGTGTGTGCTCTTCCTGGATAGAATGAAAAGCAGAGAAGCCAGGGGCTGGGCTGGGGAGTCAGTTGCCAGGCAGATTATAATGTATCAAAAATCCAATGTCTATGTTTAGTCCATGATCTCTAGTATCCAGCAGGTTGATGAAATGGAGCTCATAGGCTCGTCTCTGGGAAGTGCTGTGTAAGTTTCCCTTGAGGATCAGGACTGAGAGATTGGAAAGAGAGTGGCCCTCCTGTGAGAAATGTGCCCCCACCGGTAATTGGGTATTTCTGTCTTTGATGGATTTCCGGTGTGCGTTCATTCTGGTGCACAGTTGTTGTTTGGTCTCTCCTACATATTTTCCATCAGGGCATTTGGTGCATTGGATGAGGTATATTACATTTCTGGAGGTGCAGCTATAAGATCCAGGGATGCTGATGGCTCTGTTGTGGGGTGTAGTAATAGTAGGGGTGGTGGAGATGTGTTGGCAGGTTTTGCATTTCTTGTCATGGCTTTAGGGGAGACATTTTGAACAACTCTTTCAGACAAACATCTAATCCTGATTTTAAAATCTCTTCAAGTGATGAAGAATCAACTAATGTTGTTGTTCCAGTGGTTCATTACCTTTACCATTAATTTTACATAGGCCTTATTTCTAGTCTGAATTTGTCTAATTTGTCTAATTTCAACTTGTTGTCATTATATCTCATCATAACTTTGTCTGATAGACTGAATAGCTCCTATTATTAAATTTATTTCCCCTGTATAAGTACTTCTAGACTGTGATAAAGTCACCCTTTAACATTCACTTTAAACAAAACAGATTTAACCCTTCAGTTTGACTATAAGTGCTTTTCAGCCCTTTCATCATTCTCAAGGTTTTTCTTTGTACCCAGAAGTAGCCATGCTATTTCTGGAAGTCATACAAGTCCCCAAAGTGGCAGTAATATAACCTCCTCATTCTTACTTGATAGGCCCCTGTTAGAATCATAGAATCATAGCAAATTAGGGTTGGAAGGGACCATGGGAAGTCATCTAGTCCAACCCCCTGCTCAAAGCAGGATCATCCCCAATTATATCACCCCAGACAAGGTTTGTCTAGCTGAATCTTAAAAACCTCTGAGGATGGAGCTTCCACAGCCTCTCTGGTACCTGTTCCAGTGTTTACTACCATTCTAATGAGAATTGTTTTTCCAAATATCTAACCTAAACTTCCCTTGCTGCAACTTGAGACCATTGCTCCTCGTTCTGTCATCTGCCACCACTGAAAACAGTCTAGCTCCATCCTCTTTGGAACTATACTTGAGGGTGGTTGAAGGCTGCTATTAAATCCTGCCTCAGTCTTCTCTTCTCCAGACTAAATAAGCCCAGTTCCCTCACCCTTTCCTCAGAAGTTATGCGCCCCAGCCCCCTAACCCATTTTTGTTGCCCTCCACTGGACTCTCCAATTTATCCATGTCTCTTCTGTAGAGGGCAGCCCAAAACTGGACACACTGCTCCAGATGTGGCCTCACCAGTGCTGAACAGAAGGGAATAATCACTTCCCTTGCTGGCCACACTCTTACCAAAGCAGCCCTGTATGCCATTAGCTACCTTGGCAACAAGAGCACTTGTGGGCTCATATTCAGCTTCTTGTCCACTATTCATGCATCCAAGGTTTATATTAGATCCTTTAGCTACAGTATCTCACTGGGAACTCCTGGTCAGCTAATCATCCCCAAATCCTTTTCTGAGTCACTGCTTTCCATAATAAAGTACCTTATTCTCTAACTACCTTGATTTTATTACCTCTAAATTTGTTCCTAGATATATAACTTTGGCCATATTAAAATGCAAATGTTGCAATGAAAATGTGAGTTATCAATATAACTACTTCGCAGAAGTTGTTACATCAACTACTTCATTTGTCAGTCCAGCTTGTAAAATCATCCAAATATTGAACTATCATTTTGTATCACATACACCTTGCACCTTTCCCCCCAATACTGGAGTGTGTGTTTTAAGTGGGGAATCTGTATTCTTCCCTGGAAAAGAAGTACTCATGGAGATGCTATTTCATGCAGCTGCCAAGATGACTACTACTTGTGTTTGCTCCATTTACCGATTTTAAATGTTGGCATAATATTAATTTTCTTCTAGCCTTCAGGAACTTGTTGCCAAGAATTTTAATCTGGATTTGCTGTCTAATAGTTGCTGATTAACATCCTCTTTAGTTTCATTTAGAATGAAAGGAATTCATTTTCATACAATATGAATAGATTGCTCTTTTTTAACAGAGCAATCTCTTAAAATGTCCTATAGGTACCTTCTTTGCAACTGTTTGGTCAAAATGGGTTTTGTGTGCGTTTTTCATTTATGTGGTCCTGAGTGCATCTACATGAGATGCTACTTTGCTGTAGCGATGAGCTATGTTGCCATAGTTCATTGCTATGGCGACATAGGGTCAGAAATGACCTGCGCACCACTGGGACTATGCAGTACTGGCAGGTACCATGCTGTCATTTAGTACTTGCTTTAACTAAATGACAGCACAGTCAGGGGCACATGTAGACATGCCCCTAGTATAGTAAATTGCTATTGCTATGTATTTGGCCAATAAAAAAACAATTCACTGTAGACCAGGGGTGGGCAATATACAGCCTACCAGGCCTTTCTATCCAGCCCACAGGGCCCCTAAAAAATTAGTAAATTAATATTTATTTGCTCCTTGGCTGCCTGTCAAAGCTGACAGGAGCCAGGGGCCATAAGACCCAGGGGGAGCCCTCAGCAGGACTGAGCAGCCCAATCCTGCCCACCCCCAGCCATTTCACACTCTTCCTGCCCCCACCCTGCTTCAGGACCACATGACTCCCAGCTGGACTGGGGAGCACAGGGCCATGCCAGTACATCTGTGTGTGTGTGTGTGTGTGTGTGTGTGTGTGTGCGCGCGCACGCAGACAGAAGCAAAGTGTCTGTGTGTGCATGTTCATAGGGTGAGTCCCACATGCACACCCCACCATAAACATGCACCCACACCCCCCTCGCACTGCCATACATGCAGACCCCCACACCCCCTCATACACCCCAGCCACCCTCCACCCACACACAATTCCCCATAAACCCCATACCCACCCACACCTCACATACCCACACACTCACAACCCCCCACAAACCTATACACCCCCCCATGATATACAAGAGTAAGACTTCGTTTAAGTTATTGTGCAATCACCTCTATGTACACTACACAAACACACGTAAATCAGGACAAAAATATTTTTTGAAATCAAATTAATGAATGCTGTAGATGTTTGCTTTTTAGAATATAATTTAGCATTTTTTTGGTTCTGAAATGGCGAAACCCCTTGCTGAAAGGAGTACTTCCAAAGACAAGGGGAGGGAGTTTGGGTGGCAAAGGTCAGAGGTTAGGGGGTGGAACTACCCATACAGCCCTTGACAGC